TATGGCCCTATAGCAAGCTGGCCAAATGGGAACTGTTGCAGTGGTGGCGGAGCCTGCTCGGCAGCAGTGCGGCCAGTTTGCAGGATTCCACGGAGATGTTGGCGTGGCGGGTCCGGAGAACGGGCGAGCAGCAAGTCGTGTTATCCGCCCTCCTCTGCTGCCTGGGAGGCCGGAGGGCAGGTGGGCACTGGCGCTGTTTGGGGGCATGAGGGGCGGCTGCAGGAGGAGGAATTCAGGTAATAAGGACCTGCGTTTGTGTTGCATGGGAAGCTGGGGGAAGACRGAGGCTTTTTTTTCCYCCCCAGTAGCTGGGAAGTTTTGGGTTGTGCAGAAGATCACAGACTTCAGGGATGCTTTGGCTCTGCTTGCACAAACCTTCCTTCACAAAAAGGAATCCGCAGTAATTACGATGAGAGTGCTCAAATAGCTCTGTGACTTTGTGCTTTCTTACTTGCATGTGTGAGGTTAATTGCTTCATTCACAGACTTCCACCACTACCAACGGTGGAAAGCTCAGAAGGTCTAGGACAGATGAGGCCTTAGGAGTTGCATGGAAATAAAAAACAGCTCCTCAGAGCTGAGGTAGTGAAAGTTCCTGATCAAACCAGGGTGTCCTTTCTCCTGCTTGTTGCAGCAGGACCTCTCACTGGAGGTGCTCTGGAGCAGGACACTAGTCCACAAACTTCCTTTTGCCCAGTATTTCCCTGTCCTTGCCCTTCCTCTGCCTAAGCATGGTGAACTCAAGGGCAGAATTTGGCAAATGCTGCTGTGCTTGTCAGCATTGGAGCCCACGTAGGTGGGCCTGGTTCAGGTGGCAGATGTGCTTTGTGGGCACAGCAGCTGATGAATTTGCATGAAGATCACTTATGTCCTCAGATTTGTCTGGTAATTTTGTCTTTATATAGGCTATGCCATTGCAAAACTGTCTAGAATTAGCTATCTGCTGCAATTATTCATTCTTGTGAATGAATCTCCCAAACTCACCTTTTTTTCATGTGGACTTTTAGTGGCTTTATACTTTTTAGTGCTGCAAGTAAGTTTTGCAGCATTTGAGAGCAGAAAGTGCCAATAAAATATGTAGCCTGATCTATGTGTCACAGGGTATTGTGCCTCCAATAGCTTGTTACGCTGAAGCCCAACTTGTACGTAGCCAAGGATGCTTTCCTGGAAGCCAGGCTGCTTACGGCAAAGCACCAAGATGCTTCTTGAAGTTCAGTGTTGGGATAATGTATAGTCATTTCCGAGACTTGAAGCTGGTATTGGAGTTTGTTTCCACTAATTTCTTCTTTCAGACATATCATTACCATTTTGCCTGACAAGCTTTTGCAACTSTAAAGTTGTCAGATAAAGGATAACAGTGAATTTCTGGCATTTTTTCTTTTTTTTTTTTGTGGCTGGAAAGTTGCTTTCAAACATTGCATAAGCTCTAATACTTTTTACTCCATAGATACGACCTAAAGCTGTTCCCAGTGGATGGCAACTTCGGAGGTTTTAATTCCAACGTTGTTTATTTACTCTGTTCACTCCAGACCTATTCCACATCTTTCGAGGAGCGTTCTTACTTGGGAACGTAAAACGTATCCTAATTCAGCAGCTGAGAATCTTGACTCATTAAATTTCAACTGCTGTTTCTCGTTTGTGGAGACGGATGCTGACTCGGCAGGACAGCCGTGGGATTGAATGGCTCCTGCGGCCGGCACTTCGGGGGATTTGAGCGCTTTGCCTTTCCCCATTCACATCTAGGTCAGGTAGCTAGTGAAACTTGTTGCCAGACTGTGGCAAAAAGGCTCCTGAAACTTATTTGATTCAGCCATTRGGATGTGTATGAAGACTAGTGACTCCATCACTGCAGAAACTTCAGAACTCACCTGCCTCCAAGCAGCTGAGGGGGGAAGAGGATAAATTCTACTTCCAGTGCTTTATAGTCCAAATAATGGAGCTTCAAATATAGATTTTTTTTTCTGTGTTCAGGAAGTGGAATTTCCATAAATGTCTTAACTTGTTGCCAAGGCTTAACCTGCAACGCAAGCTGCAGCCTGTCCTTACGTGCCGTTGAGGTGGACCTGATCCAGCGGTCACCTGTCCCCAAGTTCCTTCCCTTATCTGCAAAATTTGTGTAAACTGAGGCCCCTCCGCAGACTCCACAGCACCAGAGCAATCCTGTGGCTTTCTCTTCGTTATCTCTAGATAACACTTTTTGTCTCTTGACAGCTCCATTCCATGCCTGAATTTCTCTTGTATTATATCTAGAGCTCAGACACACAATGCAGGCATCCTCCCGAGTGGCTGGACACTGTCATTTAGAAATCCAGTTTCTTCCGTGGATCCGATCCATAGAGATGAACTATCTCTTCAGGGAGGGGTTCTTAAGGACCCAGGTTGGGTTTGAGATACGGCATCAGAGTGGGATGGGGAATCTGATCTCCGCTGCCCACGTTCGTGTTCCTTTGGATAACTGGGAGTTGTGTTCTTGAGGTTTTTGTCTCGTTTTCTATTAGCACCAAATGCTTTGCTCATTTATTATACTTTTGTCAAGTCTGCTCTTGGTTTCCAAAGAAAAGCAGCCAGCAACTATGCATGTAAGCACTCCGTTTTTGCCTGCTCAGCAGTGGAAATGCTGGGTTTTGAAAACCACCTACTAATTTTAGGAGCTGAAAGGCTCCTAAATCCTGAATGTTGTGGTGGTTTTTTAAAGGCAAGTTAACAAAAGAACTTTACCAGTGTCTCTTAGAGGTTAAGAAAAAAAAAAGGCAGAGGGCTTTTACTTCATTTTTAAAACATCTTGAAAGATTTAAATTTGAGGAAAGGGGAGAAAGAAAGCATTTTTCTATAGTAAATGCCTGTTCTTTCTGCTTAGCAACTTCTAAGCAACATACTTATTAGACAGTGTTAATAGTGCAGCTTACCTTGCTCATGATAACATCTGAGTAGTAATTTTATCTGAGTGGTGACTCAAAAGGAAAATTCTGACAGCAGGCAAACAGTTTGAATCAAAGTGTAGCAACATAAAAATACATTTACTAGAAAAATAGACTGCACGTAGTGACCTTGGGTTTGAAGGTCAGCATGAAATTGCCTGAATAAAGTATCTCTGCTTTTTTTACCTTAATACGATACTTTTCTAGCATATTTTTTCAAAGCACCTCTGCATTGTTCCTAGTGTGGCCGGTTGTTTTGTTTACTGCACTACCGAGTCGTCGTTCTGGGCGGAATTACTTTGGTTCCTCCTGGACTTTGCTGTGACTGCAGCAGTCGGCGCCTCACGAACGCAGCGTGTGGTCAGGCGAGGGGCAGGCCTTGCTTTGAACCAGGAAACCGAGGCAGAGAGCATCCCAATATTTACACGTTTTGAATGGGCAAACTGATAGGCCCACATCATTGATTTTCCAAGAGAGTCATGTACACGGAATGGGAAAAGTCCCACTGATCTCAGTTGCTAGCTGTGCTCCTGTGTGTTAACAGTTGGATATCCAAAAAGCAAATGCAGGCCAGACTATTCCAAATGGAAAAAAGGGCTGAAATGATGTATCCTGCTGCTGACAACCATGGGATCTTGTTCTCCTGAGTGAGAATCTTTGGCAAAAGGAGCATTCAAAGACTGAACTACAATATATTTGTAAAGAGTAGCTCAATTAATACTGCATTAGGATGCTTTAACTATGGTGCTTACATTTGAAACYTTGATTTGCTTTTATAAAAAGGGCGTGCTTTTATTCTAATGCTTTTCTTTCCAAAACAAACTTCAAAAATAGTTTGCAACACTGAGCCACCCACAGGGATGATAAATGCAGATCTCTGCCATCTTAGCAATTAAAGTACCAAAGAGATGGTAAATTAAAGTTCTCTGAGGTTTTGCTCTTGATGAGGAAGAGCTTGTGAGCGAACCCAGGGTGATTCGTGACCACTGCGAGGAAATGGCCGAATGGCAAAAACAGACTTTGGTTCCAGGCTCTGCACAGGGGAATGCTTGGATTTTTTTCTGCTCATTTTCAACTAAAAGGTTGTCCTGTCATGTCCCCCCTTCTGCCCTAGTTTCTGTGCTTTGGCCAAGCAGTTTCCTCCCCGTACTTTAGATCCTCAGTTCACCCATCTATTCACCTTGCGAGTGCCTCCAGATTCTGCTCTCCTCTCTCCTGCCCAGCCTGGCTCATCCTGGCCCCCAGCTCCCATAGCTTTCCCCCACTCTTTCTGCTCCTGTCCTTCTCAGGGCTCCCAGTCTGTTTTCACCAAGCCGGCTCCTCAGTCTGGTTCTTGCCAACCAGAACCAGCACCTTTTCCATGGGGCTGCCAGGAGGAAAGCAGAGAGCACTTCAGGAGCATCCTGCTCTGGTGGATTTGGTGGCTGCTTTCAGTGCTCTCCGTGGTGGTGGCACCAAGCCGAGGTCTCGAGAGCGAGAGGGGTGTTTTCACACTCAGACAGGCTCCCGTGTACGAAGGAGCTGCAGAAATGTTCTCAGCAAGGCTGTAGTGTGAGATTTTTCGTTACTAACAAAGTAAGTCTGAAGTGTGAACACACTGGTAATTCCTCCTCCCTGCCCCGAGATTGTAGCTTGGTCAGATTGAGGCAGATTTTTGCACTGTGACAACATATCCAGGCTCGGCACCCCTTCGCATATGGAGTCTCTCTTCAAAGGTTTCCAGACTGATTTTTTAATTTAAAAGGGAGTAATAATGAAGTCATGCAAAAGCTTTCTCATAGCCTCATTCTTGGAACTGTTTTGGGTGAAACTTGTCTGTGTTGAAATGATACTTTTTTTTTCCAGAAAATTTCAAGGAAACCTTTACCGTTGCTAGCTGAAATGTGTTAAGTTTTAAACTGGCTAAAACAGGTTCTGTTAACGGGAAGTGTTAGCAACTGTAAACACATAGTTAGATACAGCAGGTTAACACACAATCCAGAGGGAGGATGCCGGTACCTGTTTTAACATGGATAAGTTAAACCATTTTCTGTGCTGGTCATACCTCGGTAGGAGGTACCATGTATGTATCTGAGCTCCCTACCTTACTGTTCAAGCAGCTTTGAGCTCCTCAGGCTGGTCCTGTCCAGCGTGGTGGTAGGAGCCAGGCTTTGCCAGTACATTGGTTTTGCACCTCAGGAATCAAGTGCTGGAAGCTCTGCAGAGTTGCCCTGTCAAAAGAGGAAAYGTTTTTCACTTTTTTTTCCAAAGAAGAAACTCAGAAAAAATATGTTGGCCRCCTTTGATGTGCCCCCCATGTACAGGTGTGTGCTGATGGTTTAGTATCGCTGTTCTGGTACAGGCTTGCTACCTGTACCTGTCCTTGCTAATATTCAGCTGTTATTCATGCAACTCAATGCGTGGTGTCAGGTAGCTGATGAATTATCTCAAATCCCAAACACTTTAGCTCTTGGAAACACGTCAAGTGCCCTTTATTGTTGCTTGATGTTGAGAGCTTTGCTAACATCTGAAACTAGCAAGGACTTGCACTAGATTATTTTTTTCTTTAGAAAAGGCATGAAATAGTTTCAGAGATGCTGCGATATCCAAAGCCACCTTTTTGTACYTTAGTAAGGAAACCAATTAATGAATTTTGTGTAATGAGTTCTATTTCCGCAGCGGCGTATGGGGCCAGGCTGGCCAGAGGACTGCGGCAGGGAGCTCACTGAGCGTCGGGGTAGGAGATGGGCTGCAGCTCAAGGTCCTGTTGCTGTATGAAACCTGCACTGTAAATAAACCGTTATGTACAGCAGGTTAATGCAGAATCCAGAGTACTTACGTCGACACRGCTACATTTAAACATTTTCTTTGTGTTGATATTCGCAGTGCCCCTGTGGCAGGGGCCATGCACCTATCCGAGCACTCTGGGAATTGGCAGGAGGGTTTTCCCATCTGGAGAACCCCAATGTGTTGCTCCTGCAGTTGTCCCCAGTAAAACCAAGGAAGAGAAGAGTGTCTAAGGCCAGGTCTGCTGCTGCACGAGCCAGGCGGCTCCGCTGGCTGGGGGATTCAGCCCTGTACCTGCAGAACTGCATTTCTGTGCCCRTATCCCCCCTGCTAGGAGATGTAAGTCGTCGGGAAGATTTGTGAGGGATTGAGAAAAAAGCAAGTGTTTCTGTGTGTTTTTTCTTGTTTATTTTAATTTTGGGCAGCTGAAAGAATGGAGAGATAATATTCCTGTCACAGAGCAAGCCAAGCACTTCACTAGGAAGCATATTAAACTGTTTCAGATGTTGCCTGTTAGCTTGTACTTTATAATTATTTATACAGATCTCTTACAGTTATTTCTATTGTTTGCAATAGCCTTTCACAATGTTGAGAATGTTCACTGCTGCTTTRGGCTTTTCTTTCCAGTTAGGGTGCTCTTTATACCTCCTTTTGCTTCCTCACCCCTGCCCCTTGTGTTTTCAGTAGGGATTAAACACATGTGTAAAGATTTCTGGGAACGGGCCGTGGCTTACCAGGGCACAGTTGACCTCCTGTAAACCAAATGCACGCCTCCTTTTTACAAGATCCTTCTTCTGGGATCTCTGTAGAAGCTTTCTGGGATCTTCTGTTTCTAACAATATCACATTTTCATTCTCTTTTCTGCACGGCCCTTTGCTTTGCTGGGCTCCGCGGTCCCCGGTGCCCGTGGAAGCGCTGCGCTGCCGCGCGGGAGCCGTTTAGAGGCTACGTCCTCCGCTTGGATGCTCCTGATATGTTTAGTTTCCTTAAATTTTTTGGAGAGCTGAGCTAGGCCTATTTTCCAATAATCTGTCCCCTCACACTCCTTAGACTGACCGATGAAAAGGGCCGGTTGAGACCCAACAGGGATTTCTTACAGAAGTCTTGCATAGATAGTGCGCTGGGACCGTTTTTCAAGTGCTGCATCCAGAATTCCTATCTGAAAATATGGGCTGTAAAACTCCGGGATATATTTGCCGATTTATATTCTAGATCAAGTATTCTCTCATGTATGTGGAGGCTATATTTATGAGCTCACTCCTATTGTAAATCTAATTGTGAGAACACGGAATGTTTTCATTGGCATTAATATTCTTAAGTAGTTACCAACAAAGATCTCCAGATGGTAAATTGTACCACAGGCAGCGCGACGAGATCTAGAGAGGGGAAAGATGGCAGTTCCTGCCTACACTCGAGTGAATTTTCCTTTGCCTGCTCCTGCTATAACAGATGTCTTCTTCTTCTTCATGCAGGGCTATAACTGAAGTACAAGATGGCACGAACCAGCCACAGCAACTATGTCCTTCAGCAGCTGAACAACCAAAGAGAGTGGGGCTTTCTCTGCGACTGCTGCATTGCTATCGATGATATTTATTTTCAAGCCCATAAAGCGGTCCTTGCTGCGTGCAGCTCTTATTTTAGGATGTTTTTTATGAACCATCAACACACTACAGCCCAGCTGAATCTAAGCAACATGAAGATTAGTGCTGAATGTTTTGATCTCATCTTACAGTTCATGTATTTAGGAAAAATTATGACAGCCCCTACCAATTTTGAGCAATTTAAAGTGGCCATGAACTATTTACAGTTGTACAATGTACCTGAATGTCTAGAAGATATACAAGATACAGATTCGTCTGGTTTAAAATGTTCATCTTCTGCTTCTAGCACCCAGAATAGTAAAATGATATTTGGCGTGAGGATGTATGAAGATACGGTTGCTAGAAATGGCAGTGAAGCCAACAGGTGGGGCATGGAGCCGCCAAGTTCAACAGTAAACACGTCCCATAACAAAGAGCCCGACGAAGAAGCTTTGCAGCTGAGCACTTTCCCCGAGCAGCTCTTTGATGTCTGCAAAAAAAGCAGCACGTCCAAGTTCTCCCACACAAAAGATCGCGTGTCCCATTCCCGCCGTTTCGGAAGGAGCTTCACCTGCGACAGCTGCGGCTTCAGCTTCAGCTGTGAGAAGTTACTGGATGAGCACGTGTTAACGTGCACGAACAGGCATCCCTACCAAAGCGCCAGGTACTACAGTGCTGAAAAAAGTGACTTTAGCGAAAAAGACTCTTCTAAAATGCTCTCTGGACAAACAGAGAAGTATAAAGGGGACACGAGCCAAGCTGCGGATGATTCCTCATCTCCCGTGTCAAACATCACAAGCAGGAAGAGCAGCACGGTTGCATCGGAGACATCGGGTGAAGAAGGAAGCAGGGCCTCTGAGAGGAAGAGGATTATCATCAAGATGGAACCAGAGGACAGTCCTGCCGATGAGCTGAAAGATTTCAATATTATTAAAGTGACGGATAAAGACTGCAATGAGTCTTCTGACAACGATGACCTTGATGATGAACAGGAAGAGCCGCTTTACAGATACTACGTTGAAGAAGAGCTCAGGGAGAAGAGAAATGCTCGGAAGACTTTAAAGCCCCGTCTATCCATGGATGAGGATGAAAGAAAGTGTTTAAAAAGTCCCCGGCACCTTAGTAGGAAAGCTCCTTCCGTGCAGGAAGATGTGGAGAACGCTCCCTGTGAACTCTGTGGGCTAACAATCACCGAGGAGGACCTATCTTCCCATTATTTGTCCAAACACATAGAAAACATATGTGCATGTGGCAAGTGCGGTCAAATCCTGGTCAAAGGCAAACAGTTACAGGATCAYGCGCAGACCTGTGGAGAACCCCAGGATCTGACCATGAACGGTATAAGAAATTCTGAGGAGAAAATGGACTTGGAAGAAAACGCTGAGGAACAGTCAGAAATAAGGGACATGATGTTTGCAGAGATGCTGGAGGACTTCAGGGATGGGCATTTCCAAATGAACAGCCTTCAAAAAAAACAGTTATATAAGCACTCGGCCTGTCCCTTCCGATGTCCTAATTGCGGCCAGCGTTTTGAAACTGAAAACCTAGTGGTTGAACATATGTCAAGCTGCCTAGAGCAAGATCTGTTCAAGAATTCCCTTATGGAAGAGAACGAGAGAGACCACAGACGTAAGCATTTCTGCAATCTTTGCGGGAAAGGATTTTATCAGCGGTGCCACTTGCGGGAACACTATACTGTTCATACCAAGGAAAAACAGTTTGTTTGTCAGACATGTGGGAAGCAGTTCTTAAGAGAACGCCAGTTGCGGCTCCACAATGATATGCACAAGGGAATGGCCAGGTATGTCTGTTCCATTTGTGATCAAGGAAACTTCAGAAAACATGACCATGTACGGCATATGATATCTCACTTATCAGCTGGAGAGACTATATGCCAGGTCTGCTTTCAGATATTCCCAAATAATGAACAACTGGAGCAGCACATGGATGTTCATCTGTATACATGTGGAGTGTGTGGAGCCAAATTTAATTTGAGGAAAGATATGAGATCTCACTATAATGCCAAGCATTTGAAAAGAACATAAGCATAAACATACTGTTAAAGCATTAAGTTGTCAGCAGAGAGAACACCAAAGCAAGGCATACAGTATAGTAGTAAAAAATTGAGAAAAATAATATTGAAAATAAGTCTCTTTTTTATTATTTTTTTAAGACCCTCTTAATCATAGGTGTCTATTTAGGCTCATTAAGTATATAGCTTTGAAAAGCATCATGTGTTTAATTATTACATTTTCACTGTTTCCTAATATCAGTTTCTGTTCTTAATTTTATTGTTTTACTAGTAGATATACAAATCATTATTTTTAAACTGTAGATTAAAAGCACAAATGTTACCCCTTCACTGACTGCTATTAAACAGTTCTCCGATCCATGTCCATAAGATGAGTGCTTTAATATTTCCCTGTGTTGTTTCTTCACGTGAAAACTTTAGATCACAGTGATTAACATGGAAGAGCAAAATTGTTCATAAACCTCAAGTTAATTTTGAAAATGAGAAAAAAAAAAACAAAACCACATGCCAAGAAATAATCCTTTGCTCTCCTCTGTAATGGCAGAGGCGGCTGCCCCGTCCCTCTGCTTCTTGGCTTTGTGGAAATTTGCATCCCACTGTGGAGAACACGTAGGCCCAGTTAAACCTTGCAGGCTTGGACTGGTGTGCTGGGAAAGGGAGTTAATGACTGTCCTGATAACCAAGGAATATCCAGCTGACTGGTCATTTTCCAAACTTGAAATTCTAGCAGAGCTGTAATGGGCACTAATGCTCAACGACTCATGTTGGCCTTTTGTTTTCTACCTGTACCTATGTGGGTATTTATATATATATATATATATATAATCTGCTCATCTGATACACGAGGGAAGAGTGGTTATGGTGGATTGCTAGGAATGCAGAATTGTGATTTGCATTAAGACTGCATTTCCCAACCCAGCTGTAAATGGGTGCCCTGCTGTTTTTGTTGGGAAGTTCAAAGTGGGATGGGTGTGAAGATAGTCCCRTTGCTTTGAGGGGTGGAGGGGGGAAGGGGAGTGCGGCTCATGTGAACCTTAGATTTTTTTGTTTCTTGTTTTCATAATACTTTCTGAATGTTCTGTTTTTCAACAAGAATATAACAAGAAAAGACTGCAGAGTTTGCTTAATAAATGTGAAGACGTTTTACGCCTTTTAAGATTTTTTTTCCTGATTTTAGCGTAGCCCTAATCTGTGTAGCTTGTCTCTTAACTTAATTGAATTTTAGAATCCTACTACGTGTCAGCTGACATCCATTCAGCAAGGCTGCTTGGCCTTTGCAAGAGCAACCGGCTTGGACTATTAGGCACCAGATGTCTAACTGTTTGCCAAGTGCATGATTTTTAACGGGGGAAAAAGCAGCATTCTAGTATTAAGTGGCAGAGAACACTATTTAGAAATAAAGCCTAGCAGTGCTTTCTCCTTGCAGGTCTCGCTTTATCGGAGGGCAATGACACTGTCTCCACTTGGAGCCATGGAGAGGGAAAAGTAATTTAGATAATTTAGATCCCTGTGTGTGTCAGTGGTGGAGTTGAGAGCGGTCAGCCCAAGGCTTTCCCCGCTGTGTCACTTGTAGCATTGAGTTTTGCACCTTGCTCTTTGCTCATGGAGCAAGGTGTCAGGCTCTATGCACTAAGCCGGTGGATGATCTCCACTGTAATCACCTACATTAGTGTCTATTCCCCTATTCATTTTCAAACGTGCCCTGGGCTTTCTCGGGGTTGCGGGAGATGCGGATCCAGGGATGGAGCAGGGAGCAGTCTGTGCTTGGGCTTTGCCTCTGAACTCGCAGCTGGCCGAGGGCTGTAGCTGCCGTTGGGACCTTTGGCATTTTGTGGTCTCTGCTCAGCCCTACGTGTTTTTAGTACAGTGCTGAAGCCAGCCAAGGCCTCAGTAACACTGGGACAGAAAACACCGCTGAGGTTAATGCACACTAGCATGTCAGTTATTTCAAAGCTTCTCCCTTCCAAAGGATTTATTCCACGTTTCCCATCCCAAACTGGACTGCAGCTCAGTATGTAAGTGTTGAACAAATAATCAGGATGGCTGTTTTAATGCTCTTTAGCACTGAAATCAGTGCTAAGGAGGTGATAAGAAGCATCTTCAAAAGACATTTAACTATCTACTAGGCTTGTCTTGGAGATATGAGTAGTTGGTCAAAGGAAGTGCTGTAGTTGGAGGGGGGAGGTTCAGACATGGAAAAACTCTCTGACGTTCAYGTTACCTGTCCAGACACCAGCTCCAGCTGAACTGCGGGGAAGCAGCCAAGGGAGGCAAGGGCTGGACTGGAGGGAGCAGGAGAGGTGACAGGGAAGTCTTGTGGCACAGGCTGGGCTGGGAGATTTGGGAAGCTCACCAGGGAGGCCAAAACTGGCAGAGCCCAGGGAAAGAGAGAACCAGCTGTGCAGGGGGAAGAGATCCAAAGGTGGTGAGGAGAGGGACCTCGGCGGGTGGCCGTGTCCTGTGGATGCCTCCGTAGAGGCCTAGGTCTGGGCTCTGCTGGCCACGGCAGCAGCTCCCAGTCGGAGCCTGCAAAGTTGAGGCGGGAAGCGGTGTTGGGATGCAGGGCTAGAGACCAGGAGGAGGCGGCTTGTGCAAACTGAGGTGGCTCCAGAACGCAGCGGAGGGCTAAGGGTCACCTGCAGCCACTTCTGCTCTGACGAAGAGCTGTTGCTTAAAATGCATTGATCTGAACTGACCTGAAACCCAAGACTTTCACAAAAAAAACCCCAATTTGCTTCTCAGTGTGCGTAGCCTGCCAGCTAACGAAGCTATATTGAAGAATTGGGAATGATGGTATTTCTATGTCCAAACACGCTGGGATACCTCTCTATTTCTGTTTTAAGCTAGGTTGTAGTAACCTTTCCCTTCTTGAGGGGAAAAAAAGAGTTTCTAAAGTTTGTTAATACCTTCCCTACTGGACTTGAATTAATGTTTTTCCCGCTCTTAACAGCAACAGTTCCTTGGAGTTCCCATGCATGAACGTCCAGACTGAGGCTCAAAAAGAGCATGAACAGCTCTGCAGGGAAGCTCAGCATGGATCTTGTTTGTAGGCAGAGAAACAGAATGACTGAAATAGCCCAGAAAGTGGTAAAAGCAGAAAAAAATGAGGAAAAAAAATCAAAGATACTAAGGAATAAAAGAGACAGCCTGGCTTGTGAGTAGCGAGGAGAATGTTTAAGGGGGCCTGGAAGTATGTGCAGGAACAGCACTGGAGTATGGAAGAAAAGGGCTGGCAGGGCAGGAAGGGTTTGGGTGGTGAAAGCTGGGGAAGGGGGTGCCTGGTGCTGGGCACTGCAGGGAGTGGGAGTTTTGCCCAGCACGGCAGCGGCCGCRGGAGCCCCCATGGCAGAGCTCCAGCCCTCCCCCTGTGCCCACAGCAACAAAATTGCTCACTGCAGAGCCAGAACAAAAGTAGACCCAAAAGAACAACGGCAGCTACAGTATCCTAGAAGTCTTATGGTTACTTGAAAGGTGCTGAAGGGGAAACAAAAATACCTCATTTGAAGTTCTGTTTCCTCTATCAGATCTGTACTTTTCAGTCATCCTAACGCAGGTCCTTTGTATCTCCCTCCTGAACTGGATGCTGCATTAGAGTGAAGGACCTGTAAAACACAGACCACTCTGTGGATGTGTGAGCACTATCACATTCGTACACATAGAGCTAGAATAAGGCAGGGACTTGCTGGAAWTTCTGCCTGATGTTTCTAAGTGATTTGCTTTTCTTACTGCTAGAGGACCCCTTTCTGCTCTCTTGTTTTTCTCATTTTGGCAGCAGTGTAGGCTACAGCTCTGAAAAATTATTAGTAGCCTGCGTAGCTCTTGGCTTGCAGGATTTACTGAAAGTTACAGAGAGGAAATTCATAATGATTGGAATGAACTTTAAAATATACAAAAAGAAAAGCTCTCAAGCCTCTTTTTGAGTGTTAGTTTCAAATGTTAAAATTATATATACGTGTGTTTATTGGAAGGTAATTTATTCAAAAGCATTCACATTTGTGTATAACAATACTTGTAATTAACACAGGGATCTTGATTTGGRTAGACTAGAATATAAGAGAACTCAGAATTATGAATTTCAGTTTTCACTGGGGGTTTCTCCATTTAACATTTTCAGTTAGTGGAGAAAATACAATTCAGTGCATATTTACTTCATAGCCAAAACCAGAAAATACACCGTGCTTGAGACCATATTAAAAATGTGTTGTTGTAAAAGGGAATAATTTGACTTTGCTATTGTATTTGAACATACTGGTGCTAAAAGATCAAGGAAGGACACGTCAGTTACTGATAGGATGTGAGTGAGTTCCTCACGGTGTTGCCTTGAGCTCCGGCAGCCCTTTCCTCCTCCCTCYGTTGCCTATAAGGGTCCCCTATGTGCTGTGCTCTGCCCCCTTGCCTAACGTGTTTTTATACGGCTTCCCCAGCCCACCCCTGCCCCGTGGGGCTGTTTTGCAGCTGGATCATTCCCCCGGCGTGCATGAAATCCTGTCCCAGCGCCAGAGCAGCGACACGAGGAGTGGGTGGCTGGAAGGGGGCTCCTCTTCAAGGAGCTTCATGGCAGGGCCTGGCAGCAGCGAGGGCCCGGCCCGAGCCTCGCTCCGGGCCCGTCTCCCCAGGCGCCCTCGTGGAAGCTCTGTGCTCAAGTTCATCTATTTCCTGATAAGGAAAAAAGGCAGCGGGGCCTCCCGCGTACGGCTGAGCCGCATCCACGCTATCTGCCCTCTTTATGAGGATTGGAAGCCTTCCTGCGCTCGGCTCACCCCTCAAATATGCTCTGGAGCTTTCTTTGTCTGGAAATAGCCTGCCGAGCGCTCAGCCGCCTCGGCTCCGCCACCACCAAGGGCTCTTAACCCACAAGGGCTCAGAGGCAAGAGCTCCCTTACTTCCCCAATTCTGGGCTGCCCTGAAGCTTGTCACAGAGTTAAAAGACCCACAGGACAAAGCATGACTAATGGGACTTCATAAAAGCCTGTGCAGGCTGAACATCAGGAAGGGGCTTTTAGAAGGCGACACTTCTGTAGTTCTCAGTGGCTGTAAACTCGTTTTCTAAGTTGTCRTCCAACTTTCAAAAACCTCCTGAAGTAACACTAAGGGGTATGTTCTTGAGATGTGTTATGTTATTATTTTAAAGGGAGAAGATGTTAGAAAACAACAGATTTTGTAAACTGATTTTTTTTTTCTGCCACTTTTAGAGTCACTTCTGCAATTCTGGAATTAATTGTGATTTTTTTTTTCAAGAAGAAAGACAAATGTTAATTTGTTACAGGACGAGAGAGCACGCAGCTCAGGAGTCAGCTCATTGTGACTATAGATGTTCAGCCCTGAAAGAAAGTTTGTTCCTTTTCATACACTTGAAGGACTAGGTTCAACTTTACAAGAGAAAAGCTATCAGAACTTTCCTTTTACCTGTTTTGTCTGTAAATGTCTCATTTTTCTCTTTAATTCATAGGAAAACAGGAAAAAATCTCTTTAATTTGCAGGAAAACAGTATTGTGCATCCTACTTTCAGAGTAGCCGTTTCCAGCAATCTGCACATATTTCCCACCAAAACTTACTTGACAGCATATTTTTAACATTTCATGTGAATGCAAGCAAGGGAGAATAATAAAATGAGATGAGAAATGAGTACATAGTCAGCCAGCGGTCAGAGCTTAACTTCCCGTCTGTTTTGCCCCTGTGGTGTGGAACAGCTCCTCCCCAGAACCCAAAATTTCAGACCCTTTCGGTGCCCTTACCTCTGGTGAAAGTCCAAGTAGCACAAGAGCAGCAGTGAAGTATTTTGGCATGCCCTGTATTAATAATCTCTTTATAAAATACTCATCTGTTCCACTATGGAGAAAAAAATATAATTTTAACTTGTCTTAATCTGTATAATTTAGAAAAAACAAAAATATTTAATCCTTTCCTGTGTCTTTTGGCATATGGGAACTATAGTAAATCTTCCTCCAGCAACAACCACAAAAACAATCCCGCTTTTAGCATTTCCTGTGGGTGAATTAAAAAAAAAAAAAAAAAACAACAAAAAACTAGCCCTTTCAGAGCTGCTCAAGAAACAACTTCCCTCTCAAGCCCTGATGCTGCTATTGGTTTTACTCAAGCTGTGACTGGCATCAGTGAGACTTCTGGGTGTCAGTTTTTTGCTCGTAAATAACAGACGATTGCCCGAAAGTCCTGTGGTTCTGTGGAAAACCCAGAACTCCTGACATGGAATGGGAAGAGATTATTTCCCAAAGACCTCCAAACCCTGGAAGCCCTGTGAATTGTATGTAAAGCCTGGGTTCTCAGCCTGTCTCCCTACCTATAAGACGCAGATCCATCAGTGTCAGAGCATACCAAGGTCTCTGCAGCAGCAGTGTTGTTAATGCTAAAATCTAAATAATTAGCCTTTTCCTCTATGTATTCTCTGTCCTCCCCTAATCAGAAGGTTGCTCTTTTCAAAATTCATCATTTTGGCTCTCTGCTTTCTGGTTTCTGAAATGTGCTGTCTTTCTTTTACAGCAATGACTAGGGTTAGAACCTCACCTTTTAAATGGTTCTCACATGTTCATAAGAATCCACTCATTATTAATATAGAAATGTTAAAAGGAGTGAGGGTTGAAGACATAACTCACGGGTGCTCTCCCCTTTTTAAAAGAACCATTCCACTATATTGGAGGATTATCAAAAGGATTATCAAAAGGATTTCCGCTTCAGAAATGAATGCTCCCCAAAAAGGAATAGGAGAAATAATATAAAGTCTTCTCTATAGCAAAAGCCCCAGGACCATGAAAGTTTGTGGAAATACAGATAGAAAGGCTATAAACAGACTCTGCTAAGTATTACTTTTGGTTTTGGCAGTAGATGCAGCCGACTGACGGTGTCTGTTATGTTCCTTCCTTTTACACGAGAACTTGTCGTCACAGCATTTGTTCAGCATGGTGCCTCTGCCCTGCCTGCAGAGTTCCTGTCTCCCAGGAGAAAGTCCCAACTACTGAGATTCTGGTCTGTTGCCAGTGTTTTTTTAATTATTTATACAAAGCGGAAGCACTTCAAGAGACTAAATTGAGAATAGCCCTCCTCCAGCCGTCATTGATAGCTATGACAGTAGTGTGCAGGGAGGAAATACAGAATAAGATTCCTTAGAGCAGACACAGACATGGACTTAATACCTCCTACAGCCCAGGAGGGAGTTCATATCTATGAGCTGCATTTCTGTTGGGTAGATCTAAACCTAATTCCAGTACACTTGCTATTTGTAAAAACCTATTTGTAAAACACATCACCAATTATAGCCTGGGTGTCTGGAATTATAAGCTCCACCTATGATGCTTTGGGACAGGATGGTTTTTCACTTAAATTTTACTAGCTCATTCTACCATGGTCATTTATGTCACAAAATAAAAAGCTCCTGATCAACAATAACTACAAAAACAAAATGTAAGACACAAGAAATCTTACACTGTAATTGCTACAGTTCTTTCTGCTTTATTTTGCTTGTGCAGACAAACAGTTAAATAGCTCCAAGGTGGTTTCCTTGGGAGAATGTGTTTATTTGATCAAATTCAGTGTGGCCTAGACCCCAAATATAAGTTCTAGTTTCAAACAGAGCGCTACTGTAAAAGTAGAACTAGTGTGTGGCCTTCCAGACCTCATGAAATATGTTGGTTTGTTACAGAGTCAAAATAAAGCTGTTCCTTAAAACACATACATTAACTCCCTGTCTTTCACTCACCAGAATCTTTTCTCTCTCATCTGCTTTTTCTTCCAATCATTAGGATTGTGTCTTAATCAGAAGGAACCTGGCTGAGCTATAGAGTTCTTAATAAAAAGCATGTATGGTATGAATGGAACATCCTGCCTACTTTAATCATTAAGGAATAGGCTTTGGAGATACTGTTCCTGTTTATTAAGCTTTGAAGCTCTAAAAAAATGAGATTTTTAGAACAGGACTTGCCTTTTAATTTCTGATTCCCTTCATACTATAGAAAGCAGGATGAGGAAGAACAACAAGGGTTCTCCTCTTCCAAGTGGGGCCTGGAAGATCTTGCTAGTTTGGGGGCTTTATTGCCTTTAGGTGGCTGAATCTTCACACTTCTGATATATGCTTTAAGCATTAAAAAGCATTATTAGTACATCATGTGTTAGGCCAGGTTCACCCACCTAACCTAACAAGTCAAGCTCCTGTAAATGCTATGTTTTTTAGGAACCCGGTTATGCCAAATCTGGGGGAACTATCCTTGCTCATCTCCAGTTCCTCCTTTCATTTGTAAACTTCTAACTAATCACAAGTTTTCTATTCCTTCTGTGAAGTGGAAGAAACTGCATCTCTTGCAGTATCTATGAAGTGCTTTAACTTTTTGCAGATGTTAATGTATTCCTGTGGCGGGGACGTATGGGCTCCATCTGGTGGCTAATTTAAAATATCTGTATTTCTATTTTGAGAAGATAACCAATTTTACAGTTTAGCTGAGTTTAATGTGTGAAGATTGCAGGCAGAGATCCTCTTGCAATTGTGCTTTTCTTTAGCTGTTCACTGGGGAACTGGACAGTTTTAGAGAGTGGGAATAGGACCAAACGTTTCACCTCTAATCTAGCTCACTATGGACTAAAAACTGTTGCCAATGCAGCTGTTCATTTGTGTTCACAGTTCTGTGTGTAAACYACACCACCACGACTGACACTAATTAATAGTATTTTTGCAGCCTCATCAGAAAAAAATTAATATTTACCAATGGCAACCCACCTTGCCACACTCAGAGATGACCTCTCGCAGCCGAGTCGAGTGTGGGAGTGTAGAGGAGCTCAGTCATGCCTCGTGCCTTGTGCATAATCTGCAAATAACAAAGATTTTGGACTGTAAAATACAGCTCAGCACCTTAATGAACATTGATTTTAAACATTGATATTGCCTGGGTTAAAAAAAAAGTGGTTTAAAGATTTGCATATATACTGTAATTAGAATGCACTTTTTCTCCTTTGCTCGTCTGGGTCAGTCCAACCTCAGTCAAACCTTGACTGTCTACAAATGGCATCAGACCTGGGAAAAAAAGGGCCTCCCAGACGACTTCTTGGCCCAACATGGAATACATGACACTGCATAGGGGGCAGATGCCACATAGAGATGACTCTGGGCCAGGCCACGTGTGAGACGGGTGCCTCTGACAGGCAGGATTTGGGACCTTCCCATCGAAGGCATGCGGGCAAGTTTAGCCCTGCACTGCCTTGAGGATGCTCTAATAAGTCATATAAACAGCTGGTGAAGCTGCTGCATGTGCAGCCTCAGAACCTTTGCTGCTCTTCAGTGCAGATGCAGACACTTGATCCAATGATGCTATGATGTATATGAAAACATCAAGTGTAAATTAGTAGCTGAAGGTAGTACAGTAGCACACTTGATGCAATGTGATTGACATACTAAGAGAAAGAAAGTGGTTTGTTTACATGAGGGTTATTTTAAAATGTTATATCCATGTGTTCCAATGTTATTCACAACTTATTTCCGTTACAAAACTGCTCCATTTATTGTAAATTAATTTGGTCCACAGAGACATACAGGAATTGTAAATGTTTGTATCATTAGGCTGCATTTAATCCGAAATAATAATCTGTGAGTTAAGTAAATGCATAATGGTCACCTTTGAGTCAGACAAGTGCAAAAACAACAAGAATAAATGGAGAGACACATATGAAGCAGTGTAAAGAAGTATCCCAGAGTGGTGGGTCTTCAAGCTAGGAGAAGGATGAGGCTGAAGGCAATAATGCTCTTGCAGCTGCTTGAGCATCCACTACCCCGAGCCACAAACCACTGTTTGAAAGCAACAAACACACAGCCAAAACTAACTTCGGGGAGGGGTCTTTCTTCAGCCAATCTTTAGCAGCTTTGAAAATGGAAGCAAAGGAGAAAGAAAAAGTGAAATAAATGCCAAGTTTCTGCAACGAGAGCAGAACTTGTTGAGGATTAAGCCGTGTTTTGGTGGGACAGGGGTTGAGGGAAATGAACTTGTAAGCAGAGTTTCCCATCTTGGTGCTGGGAACACAAGGAAGGAGGGGTGTTCACGGCAGGGCCGAACCGCCGCGAGGTGGGAGGGCCCCGTGGTGCTAGCAAATACCGTACTAGGATGTGGGCTGCTGACCTTTAATGTTTTTCTTGCATTTCTTTTCTGCATGGCAGTAGTGGAATAGGGACTTCTAAGCTTCTGAACAACTGAGAGAACCAGGTTTGAAGAAGACATGAGGAAGAACCATTCGGCAAAAGATTTCTTAAAAACTCAGAACCGTGTGTGCCAGATCTGACTTGGCATCATCATTGCTTTTTTGACATACCACTTGCAAAAGGCGCCAAAGCAGTCAAATTAGAACACCCAGTTAAAGCTCTTTTGGACTCTTTTCTGTTCTATAAAACTTACCTCCTTGTGACTATCATTTACATATGTCAAAATCTAAGTGACGTCTCCTTTCGCAGAGCAGATAGCCAAGAGAGGCAGATGCCAGGTRTTAAAGGCAGTGCTCAAATGAGTCTGCAAAGGTTGTTAATCATGTTGGACTGCTCCTTTTTCTGAAACAAGGCTTCCTGACCAAAACYGGTCAGAATTTTTAGCTTAAACATTAGAAGTGTATACAGTGAACTAAAACTTAAGCATTTTGTAGACAGTTACAATGCTAAACTAACAAGTGCTAAAGAAATAATGTTTTAGTCTCAAGTACAAAGTGAAAGAAAAGTGAAAACTGAGCAAAAAGGGTCCCTGAGGAAGGACAGGATGGTGAGATAGATGCAGCTGCCTTTGACACCCCTTGTCACCACCACCATCACTTGCAAGCTGAAGAGGAGCTTCCATGCAGCACAGTGCTTAAATATGGAGAGTGAAGAAATGGTGCTCGGGTCTTATTACAAGAATGGTGAAAAATTGTGACCAACAAGGAGATGAGTAAGCATGAAATAATCTTCACAGGGCAGTGTGCACTTTGTTTTGGATCTAAACCTTGCAAACGCTGGCTGGAAGAAGAGAATAAGGCATTCATGTTCAGATTTGGGTACTTCAGGAATCCTAATATTTCCAGATAACCTAAAGGGAAAAAAAAAAAAAAAAAAAAGCAAAATGAGGCAATGTTTCAAATTTAGGGCCAGCCAGCATGTTGTCCCCCAGACAACAGTGAAAGAGATTGAGACTTGTAAGCAGACTAATCATGCTGAACTATATTCTGTTGTAGTTATGCATTTTACTAACTCTAGCTGTATCTATAAAAGGATGTTTCATTGTTCAGTATAACTGTTATCTTAAGAATCATTTTATTTAAAATTGGCATTTTTGTTACTATTGTTATAAAGTGTGTAAAATACTGTCTGTATTGCAGCTTGTATAGGGGCATGTGTCTTTGCTTGCTTTATTCTTTTTGAGTTTATAAAGTTGCTATATAAATGCAAGATGGTGAGATATCTTGGAATGTGGTTATTTAATCTGACTACATAGTCCTGAACATTTCAGCATACAGATGTTTAAGGTATCAGTGTTGTTAACATGTAACATCTTCAACATTAATACAGGCATTATAAATTCTTCAGTACCATACTGGAATGCTGACACTTCTGTCACTTTGGCTGCCCTAGAATAATGCTGAATATCTAGAAATAGGTCCAGAAAGCCCTGGAGAACTACTGTGGGAAAAGGCAAAAAACAGCTAGAAAAATCTAATTTAAATCAAAATTAAATCYAAAGCTAATCTAAAGCTAATGCAAAACGGAATGATCTTTCCCTGGAGTCCAGGGATGTTCACAAAGCAAAGGGCAGCAGGGGAAAACGCTTCTAGCATCACCTCAAGTTAGGCCTAGGACTGCTGGGCCAAAGGAATCTTTTTAAGCGTAGGAAGTCTAGAACAGACTGTGACTGTTCTGTATCTTAGCAATTACTTGCAGTCTATGTAAAGCACCAGTGAGGACATACCAGGTTAGTTTTCATTATCTTTAAAAGTTAATCTGTGCTTTGATATAGTATCTTTAATAAAATGTTCTTACAAGTCTGCTTATTATTCTCATTTAATTCCATCTCATGCCCAAGCTGAAGAAGTCCCAACAAGAAGGGTGAAGTTCTAATTAACAGCTGCTTCATCTGCTTCAGATTTTCCCCTGTTCATTTAATAAGAATAAAAGGGTGAAAACCAAGATGAGCAAAAATGAGAAAACAAGAGGAACTCATAGCAGCTACAGCTCTATTTTCATCAAAGTCCTTTGAACTAAGCATTAAAGTGAGAGTGATTAATCCAATTATATTGATTTGTATGAAGCACTGATCCTCRACTGTGTTTACGGTACACCGTTTTTCTTGTTTATGACTTGTCAACATTTCACAACATTTCAAATGCCAAGAATAGTAGGAGTATTTTGTTTAACCCCACTCAGATCAGGTAAAAAAAAAAAAAAAGATATTTTCATGTACCCATCGCCATCACTATTTATTCATCTATCCATTCACAGACAGACTTTTGATATTTTCAAACAATGCCAAGCAGAAATAGTCTTTATACTAGAAGAGTAGATTACAAAATCGTCTTGGCAAAGTAAAGATATGACCTGAAAACTTGAAGTGTTCCCTAAGAGAAACAAGTGCAAGTTGGAATCATTACCTACCTAAGAAAGAAACAGCCGTGTAATCTCCATTGAAGATAATTTGTCCTATAATGGATCAAGTCAGCAGTATCGCGCTGTTGTAAATAAATATAAAAATGGAAATGTCTAAACCAGAGTGTAATATGGTCATGGCACTTGAAAAACAGACCCTAAACACATACAGGGATTCAGAAGAAAGCAGTAAGATTGCCTAGAAGTCTTGAAAATATTGCCTTTGATAGGCGGAAATATTTTTGGTCATCCTACAGAAGAGCAGGCAGAGGCAGAACATGCTGATTTTCACACGTATAAAAGGTGGTTGTAAAGAAAAAAAAAGAGTAAAGGAGTAACATGTTTTCCCATTTCCACAATGAATAGCAATAGAAATAATGGGCTTAAATTGCAGCTATGGATATTTTGGGTTGATAGAAAGGGTGGTCTAAATGACCTGCTGAGATGYCTTTGGGATCAGATTCAGATTGCAGACAATCTGCTCCCAAAGACTCCCATTTTCTCCTGTCAATGGAGCTGGCACTGGTGGGAAGAAAAGGAGGCTGCAGCTATRCAGAATCACAGGATGGTTGAGGTTGGAAGGGACCTCTAGAGATCATCCAGTCCAACCTCCTGCTCCAGCAGGGACACCCAGAGCACGGGGCACAGGGCGGCAGCCAGGCGGGTTGGGAAGATCTCCAGAGAAGGAGACTCCACAACAGCCTCCCTGGGCAGCCTGTGCCAGGGCTCGGGCACCCTCACAGGAAAGAAGTTCTTTCTCTGTGTTGTTCTTCTATCTATATGTGTATCTATCCATACAGCAAAGCAGTCAAGAAATGAAGAGACAAAATGCAGAGCACATCAGCTTATCTAGTTGCTGCTGCTAACCTCAGCTTTTAATCATGCCCCAGCAAACTGTCAAAGTGTATGTAAATAAGAGCACTCGAAAACCACTTAATTATAAAATAATCATTCCTTGAAACATCAAGGGTTAGTATAAGCAGTGCTGCCACCTTCAATGAGTCTAATCAATCTAATGCAAACTGTTTTGCAATGTTGGAATCGGCTGTTTTTAAATAAAATCTCTAAATACTACCCAGAAAAATCTTTAAAGTGTAACCTGAACATACGCGAAAGATTAACAAGCCACAAGGCAAGTAAAGTCCCATGTGTTTTTTAATCTCACAATTTTAAACTAGGCTTATAATTTTAGAAGGTCTGACTCATCATTTCTGAATTTCTGGTTTGGCAACACCAAATTACCATGCCCTATATTCTGGTATTCCGAATATTTGCATAGCACTGATCACACATTTGAATAACTTGCAGAAAACATGTTACACTGAATTATAGTTATTTTTTTTTCCCACACACAAAAAACACATTTTTCATTTAAGAAAGATCATGCATTGTATCTGCCTTTCATATTGCAGGTAGACTGTGTGCAAAAGGGGTAGTATATAAGGACAAAATAACAAAAGAAGTTACAGAGCAGCCCACAGCAGACACTGCAGGTTTCAGTACAACAGAACATTGTCAGAAGAATCTTTTTTTCTCTTTTTTTCCCCATTTCAAGCATTCGTACTGTACATTTGAATTGCAATTTCTATGCTTTTGTTCTCAAGTACAAACCAGATGGGTAGTTTCAGTGATAAAGGATATCATGACACAGTATTATTTGTACTTAGAACAACTGTTGTTTGGACTTGACTGAACTGTGACTGATGTACTATAAAATAATTTGTTTACTTTCACAGATATAATCTGATTTAAGCTATTTTCTGGATATTTTTATAGGCAAATGGTTAACAATTTCCTGATTTTAAGATCTAAGATCTTCTGATCACCAAGTCTCAAATCCTGTATATCAAAGCCATTACATTTCATCACTTTAATGAGCTAAATAGCTGATGTCTGATTAAACCTTAGCTCATGCATTTTTATACTGCATTGCCTTATGAAATATGTGGAAATGCATTCTTCCTTTTATCCAGAGAAAGATAAGGGTTGAGCTCTCAGTTCTGCTCCAGATACTGAGCTCTTGCTTCACTGAAGAAATCTAAATATCATCTTCAATCTGCCTGGGTGGTGTAATTGGGWATAGCCTACAGCTTATTATGTAACATGGGCAAACAGGAGACACTAAATACAAATAAAAGGAGCAGAAATTGGCCTCTGTAGTTCCAGGAGTGCCAACTTGCTCTTCTGGGAGTTACTATCAAAATATGGCTTAAAAACTCAGTATGGGGGAACCACAGCAAGCACTGCACTAAAGGAAACATCAGTCTGTGCTCACTCTTTAATTTCAGAACCAGTCTGTTTGGGTTACCTGTAGCACGGCTGCATATGAAGCAACATGAAAGGCAACCATGTGGCTCTTCCCATAGGAGAGGATGACTGTAGGGATGAGTTGGAGCACAAATTGTCCTGCCAGCCTGGGAGAACTGCTGACAAAAAGCAGCCCTGTAGCTGCTCTGCTGAGAAGAGAGAATAAGACTAATGAGATTTCAGTTCTAGTTAGACTGGACTTTCTCTAAGGACATTTATAAGGGATCGGAGATGATGGCAAGAGCATCATGTGAACTTTCGATTAGGAATTAAAGATTAAAAATCCCCAGTGTATTGTTGCATAAGAAGAAAACTGCACATTGTGGTCAACTGGAAAAGAAATACTTCTGCAACAGGAAAAAATGAAATATTTAGTAGCCTGAGTCTACAAACCTTTTGATTCTTTCAGAGAAAGCTCATGATTCACTGTGTCATTTACATCGCTACCATTAACACTGGATTCCCATAACATTCCTCCAAGATATTCCCTCAAATTTACCATAGCAAAACTACAAACTGTGAAATGAATAGGATGGGGATTACACTACCAGGGTTATTACACTACCAGGGTAAGCAATAATTCCACCCAATGCAAACACCTCTTCCTCAAGTTAGTGGTGTATTTGGGGACCTGTTTGTGACAGAGTTGTTATAGTTATTGGGCCAAGAAAACTGTCACCCCAAACAAGTTTTGCCTAGAGGTGGTGAACATATTTTGTACATGGGCAAATAAATCACATAGCTAAGAGCTTTGGGACAAATTCATGAAATATCATTTAACCATAAAATCTGCTTTATTACAGATATACCAAGGTGTGATATCAAATTAATTTAGGTGCAGATTATCTATTGTGCTAATCCATACTGCCTCTTTATTATTATGCACCTCCTTTCTTTTCTATACCTTTTCTGAGGCAAGGCCCCTCTTTTTTTTTTTTTTTTTAACTCTGCAGTAACAGGGCCCTCGCTTGTCTCCAATAGGCCCATTACTGGTCCCTAAGAAACTATCCTCACAAGAATTAAATAATAAATAACATCAGTTTTTCATCTGAAGCTGAATTTATCAACCTCCTTTTGCTATTTTGCTCTCTGGCATTTCTCTTTGCCCCATATGCCACAGACAACTGAATGGAGGAGCACTAGATTATAGGCAGGGATAGTTCAGTGATGAGTCAGTCACTGGTCTAACTGCAGGAGAAAACGACTCCCTTTCCATCAAAGAAATATGCATGCGGGATATATGGAGAAGCTCGCGCTGGATGCAGACAGCAAACTGGCAGTTTCCATTTCCCATTGACCACTTCTGGATTTCTGCAATGTCCGAACCTGTACATCAAAAAAACATGGCTCTTTGGAATAATAATAGTTATCTAAGTGCAGTCTACATGAACTGTCAGAAACTCAAGCTGTTCTGTTGAAAGACTACTTATATACATGCACCACATAAAAGAGGTATAATCCTCATGTCATATTAAAAAAACTTTGAAAAATATTCTAATTAAAACCAAAATGTTTCAAAAAGGGAATTAGTCTGTCTGCAATAAGTGCATCAGCATCCRTCACTGTGGTAGACGCTGTCACAGACGTTTTCTACCTGGGCTGCTATAACATAGTGCTAAAGACTGGGGCCTAAATGCAGGAAAGATGATTTAAGTATATGGGAGACTTAAACCTTCMTTTCTGTAGCACAAAATCCATGGATAGCAGAATTTCAGCTGCACTTTTAAAGCAGCTATCCCAAAGAAACTCTTCACTAATCCTCAGAGGAAGAAACATCTCAACATGGTATTTTRCGCTGGTTACTATAAATGGAATATTTTGCAGTATAAGGAAGAAGTAAGAAAGCAATGAAGATTAAGATGAAGGGACYGCAGCAGAAATTCATGTTTCATGTATTTCCACCAGGGCATTTGCCTCGCTCGCAGTTAATAGCGCCGAAGCTTTTGCAATGCAGCTAAATGTAGGCGTGACGACATTTTATATTAGCACAACAGAGAAAAATTTGGAGGCATTTCAAGAATGGTCACYACGCAGAAATACACAGCAACAGGGCTCCTAAACACCCCATGCTTCTCCTTAGGGAGAGGAAGGCTACGTGCTGGGTCCTTCCATCCCACACCAGGCTCGAATACCCTTTTGACAGCCGCRAAGCCAGTGAAATTTCGTTCTCAGGAAGGGGTGGTGGATGTGGGGGGGGAAACGGCGGGTGCTGAGGGTGGAACTGCAGTGGGTTGGGGGAGGCAGGGAGCGGGGATGTGGGGAGCGGCGCTGCCGGCCGCGCAGCCGGGCCGAGCTTGGGCCCAAACGGCTCCCCGAGGGACGCGCCTCAGGCCGGAGCGGGCGGCTCGGCGGGTCGCCGCGGGGCATGAAGCGCCTCGGCGGCCGCCTCTCCCCACCGGGCCGGGACATGGCGGCGGGGAAGCTCTGTGTGTGTATGTGTATGTGCGGGGGGGGGGTGAATTACTACGACGCTGCGACCAAATAAGGGCAAACTGCCGGCTCGCTGGCTCGCGGCCGGCCGCGTTTGACTGAACTTTCAGGAATTACAAACAGCGCGGGGCGGGCGGCGGGGGCGGCGGCGCCGCGGCCCCCCCCCGGCCAGCGACGCGCGACCGCGCGGGGGCAGCGCGCCGCGCAACCGCCGCCCGCAGCGCCTCTGCCCCGCCCCCCTCCCCGGCCGCCCGGCGCCCATTGGGTAACGGCGACGTCAATCTCCTACCTCGCGCCTCACGCCCGCTGGAACTTTCTAGTAGAGTTGGGCGGCGGGGGCGGGGCAAGAGGGAAGCGAGGGCGCTGATTGGCGGAGGGAGGCGGCGCGCGGCGCAGCCCTAGAGGGATCGAGAACAAACAGGAAGAAACGCGCACTTGGCTGCCGCACAGCGATAAGGAGGTTGGGCTAAAGGGCGGGCACCGCGGTTCTGATTGGTCAAGAGGTAGGGGGCGGGGCTTCTGCCGCAACTCGCAGAGGCGATTGGGCGGCCTTGGAAGGCGGGCGTCTAGATTGGCCAGCAGGGTTCTGGCAGGTTCCAGAAGGCGTCTGCGCGCGCTATAAAAGAGGCGCCAACGGCCGTTTAACGGCACAGCGCGCGGCGGACGGGAGCGAGCGCGAGTGGTGCGAAGTGCGAGCAAGCGACGTGCTGAGCTGCRAGAGGCGGCATCATGTCTGGCAAAGGGCCGGCGATCGGCATCGATCTGGGCACCACGTATTCCTGCGTGGGTGTCTTCCAGCATGGCAAAGTGGAGATCATCGCCAACGACCAGGGCAACCGCACCACACCCAGCTATGTGGCCTTCACCGATACCGAGCGCCTCATCGGCGACGCTGCCAAGAATCAAGTGGCTATGAACCCCACCAACACAATCTTCGATGCCAAGCGTCTCATCGGCCGCAAGTATGAGGACCCCACGGTGCAGTCAGATATGAAGCACTGGCCCTTCCGTGTGGTGAATGAGAGTGGCAAGCCCAAGGTGCAAGTGGAGTACAAGGGTGAGATGAAGACCTTCTTCCCAGAGGAGATCAGCTCCATGGTCCTTACCAAGATGAAGGAGATTGCTGAGGCTTACCTGGGCCGCAAGGTGCAGAATGCTGTCATCACAGTACCCGCTTACTTCAATGACTCCCAGCGCCAGGCCACCAAAGATGCTGGCACCATCACTGGCCTTAATGTGATGCGTATCATCAACGAGCCCACAGCAGCTGCCATAGCGTATGGCTTGGACAAGAAAGGTACCCGGGCTGGAGAGAAGAATGTGCTCATTTTTGACTTGGGTGGGGGCACTTTTGATGTGTCCATTCTCACCATTGAGGATGGCATCTTTGAAGTGAAGTCCACAGCTGGTGATACCCATCTGGGTGGGGAGGACTTTGACAACCGCATGGTGAACCACTTTGTAGAAGAGTTCAAACGTAAGCATAAGCGCGACATTGCGGGTAACAAGCGGGCAGTGAGGCGGCTGCGCACCGCTTGCGAGAGAGCAAAGCGCACCCTCAGCTCCTCCACCCAAGCTAGCATTGAGATCGACTCGCTCTACGAGGGCATCGACTTCTACACCTCCATTACTCGTGCCCGCTTTGAGGAACTCAATGCTGATCTCTTCCGTGGCACATTGGAGCCAGTGGAGAAGGCCCTGCGTGATGCCAAGCTAGACAAGGGTCAGATCCAGGAGATTGTGCTGGTGGGTGGCTCCACTCGTATCCCCAAGATCCAGAAGCTGCTACAGGACTTCTTCAATGGCAAAGAGCTCAACAAAAGCATCAATCCAGATGAGGCTGTTGCTTATGGCGCTGCTGTGCAAGCAGCGATCCTCATGGGAGACAAGTCTGAGAACGTGCAGGATCTGCTCTTGTTGGATGTCACCCCTCTGTCCCTGGGCATCGAGACCGCTGGAGGGGTAATGACTGCCCTCATCAAGCGTAACACCACCATTCCCACCAAGCAAACCCAGACCTTCACCACCTACTCGGACAACCAGAGCAGCGTCCTGGTGCAGGTGTATGAGGGCGAGAGGGCCATGACCAAGGACAACAACTTGCTGGGCAAGTTTGATCTAACAGGGATCCCCCCAGCGCCCCGTGGTGTCCCCCAGATTGAGGTGACGTTTGACATAGATGCCAACGGTATCCTGAACGTCAGCGCTGTGGACAAGAGCACGGGGAAGGAGAACAAGATAACGATCACCAACGACAAGGGGCGCCTCAGCAAGGACGACATCGACCGTATGGTGCAGGAAGCAGAGAAGTACAAAGCAGAGGACGAAGCTAATCGGGACCGGGTGTCAGCCAAGAACTCCCTCGAGTCCTACACGTACAACATGAAGCAGACGGTGGAGGATGATAAACTGAAGGGAAAGATTAGCGATCAGGACAAGCAGAAAGTACTTGACAAGTGCCGGGATGTGATCAGTTGGCTGGACCGTAACCAGATGGCCGAGAAGGAGGAGTATGAGCACAAGCAGAAAGAGCTGGAGAAACTCTGCAACCCGATAATCACAAAATTGTACCAGGGAGCTGGGGGGGCCGGGGCAGCCGGCTCCGGAGGGCCAACCATTGAAGAAGTAGATTAAACAGGACTCAAATATAGACTTGTTTATGGACACTCCGTTCTCTGCTTATTTTTTTCCTAACGTTTAAGAAAAACGTCATTGCCAATAACAGAGTTTA